AGGCACTGGGGCTGGCTGGGGAGTCAGGAAATGGGAAAAGGTCAGGAGAGTTCCCTGGGGGTGGCGCGCGCCAATGGGTGCTGGAGCCGAGGAGAATGCTGTGATTCTCATACCGATGCGTCCTCCCGGTCCCTGGGCCGAGTGCCCCTCTGGCTCTGTGCTGGGCAGCCAGAGCCACTGCCGTGGCACGCGCCAATGGGTGCTGGAGCCGAGGAGAATGCTGTGATTCTCATACCGATGCATCCTCCCGGTCCCTGGGCCGAGTGCCCCTCTGGCTCTGTGCTGGGCAGCCAGAGCCACTGCCTCCTTCCCTCCAGGGACGGGGAGGCTGGCAGGGCCTCGGGTGCTGTCACCAGTCACCCAAGGAGCTGCCAAATCTAACACCTCAGTGACCTGAGCTGCCCTGGTGCAAGCCACTGGCTGTTGGGAGGAAACTTCAAGTGGCAGGAAGCTAAAGTTACTCAAGTGTCAACACAGCAGCCCGTCCTCGGCAGAGATAGGCCTAGATAGAGCTCCGTGTCACTTTACAGGCCTTTCAGCCCAGCAGCCAGGGGACACTCACCTGAAATAGCTTTCTATGTGCCCAGTAGACCTGGTCTGAATGAAGGTCACGGTGTTATTAGCACATGGACTGAGGCTGTCCGTATCACCAAATGGGCCAAGATCCAGCTACCAAGACTACGTAGTAGCATGGACACAGGCCATGACCTATGAGCACCAATGCTTCCCTAGTAAACGGTTCTCAAGCACTTAGCCGAGGCCAAAGCTTTGAAGGCAATGGTAAAACACCACCCTCCAGAGGCTCTCCATCCTTCCCGGGGAGCCCAGCGTGCAACTGAGGATAGTCCCTTACAGTCCCCCTGCATAGGCACCACATGCTACCCTCTCAGGGCAGTAAACATCTTATCCTTACACTGACCTTATCTCTGATTTACCTCTGTACCCCCAGCACGAAGCAGACTTTCCATAAATATTTGTTGAATGAATAACTGTGAGCTCTGCAAGTGCAGAAATGATATTTTATTCTGCTTTACGTCTTTAGGGCCTATAGTGTAAGACCCGAGGGCATAGTAGTTGCTTAATAAACATATACAGAAAGGATAAAAGAAATGGCAGAGGAAGGAGTTAGAGACTGTTCATCCTTCCTCGTATGCTCCCTCCTTCCTGCAGTGTATGTGCTCAATAAATCAATTAAAGTGAATGTGAATAAATGAATGATCGTTGAATGAATGAACTTCAACAGTTGAGTAAAGAGGTTGGACCAGAGGTTTGCTCAAGTCCTAACCAACTCTTAAGAATTTCATAACCTGGTGGTGCAGTGAGGGGTTGGCCCCGCAGGGGCTGGTCCCACAGCTGCAGCTGCATGCCACGACTGAGCCAGGCCAAGGTCACCATCCAGGGCTCTCTGCCGCAGGTGCCTGCCTGTCCCCCACCCTCCACAGCTTGCACCCATGGAGTTCTGATGCGAAGTCGGGCAGCCAACAACTACAGTTTCTAGTTAAAGTGCATCTTTCACTCTTCAGCTTTTAATTTTCCACTAACATGGTGTTTGTTTTTTTCACGAGAAGACAGCTGGCCCAGTGCCCTCAGCAGAGAGAGGCAGAAGTGCGAGAGAGCTCCCAGGTGACATGTGAGCCCACTGGAAGGATGACACTGGTTCTGAGCTCCCCTGAGCCGCCTCCTCTCTCTGGAGTATCTTCAGGGGACTGCCAACAGAATCAGATCCAGAGTCTGGGGGGACGGGAGGCTCCTCCACACCGACTCCACCGTGTCCAGGAGCACCCTCAGCCTCCCCAGCAGGCTTCCTCTCACACACCTCCAACAACAGGGCGCTCACTGCCTGTACGGCGCACTCTCGTTCTCACGCACAGGCACAGACCCCAGGTCACCCAATGACGGGAAGGGCAAGCGCTAAGCCCCCGCCGGGACCCGCCGTGGCCGGACTCAGAACCCAACAGTGCAGGAGCGCGGATACGCACATGGATTTCTTCTCCAGGTTCTCGAGGTTCGTCTTCAGAGTGTTGTAGGTGGCCGTGCGGGACTTCAGGTCTGTCTCGATCTGTGCCAGTTGCTAGTTTGGAAAGCAAAAGCTCCTGGTGACCTTGGGTGCTGAAGTTATTGGTTGAACTTTTCAGACTGACCACAAATTGCTCATGGTGCACTTAAGGAAAACAATGCCTCCTGCCCACCTGCCAGGATAGCTCATATTTGTCTCCCGTCTGCTCACCCACCCATTCCAGAATCTGGCCCTTATAGGAAGCGCAGACGTGGGGAGGCAGGGAGGGCTGTGACAGCCCCACTTTGCAGACACCAGGCTCCAAGCCATGATGGATTCCCTAGCTCAATCTTCTAATTTCAGGCCCATCCTGACTGTCGGGACATCCCATGCCCCTCCACACCTGTCCCTCTTGGGCTCTGCTGGAAGGCAGCTCAGGCCAATCCCCAGCCCTTGCTTCTGTGGGGACCTGCCATCACCCAGCCTGCAGAGACAGCCGCATCTCCAGGCTGAGCTGTGCCCACCATGGCCCTGCTTCCTGGTGCGCATGTGCAGGAAGGCTCCATTCAGCAGGGAGACAGTCACCACTGGACGTTTCGAGGGGATCCCCTTGCTCTAGGGTTCCAGGGTTTAGGGAGCACGTTCTGGATTCCCGTTCTAGGGGCTGGCGGGGCAGGATGGTGTAGTGGAAATAAAATAAGACTAGGCTCAAAGCTGGGCTCTTCTGCTTTCTGGGTAACTGACCTAAGGTCCCCATCTGCCCAACAGGGGGTTAATGCCTTTCCAAAGGGGCCTCAGTAAGGATTAGCAGAAGTGAAAGAAAAATGCCCAACAGGGCCCAAATCAAGGGGAGCCCTCAAAATAACAGTAGCCATTGAGATGATTGTTGCAAACGAGCATTCTGAGGTCACTGAACCCAGCTATTCAGCCTCACTGTGAGCCCCTATTACCTGTTGAGTGCTGCTGGTAATCTAAAGAAACGCCCAGCGCCTGCCTCCAGGGGCTCATGCTTTAACCCCAGAACCATGAATCAGGACTTGGCTCAGCAAGTATGGTATCAACACCATGGAATACCGTGCAGCCATTAAAATGAATGACGGAGAGCTGCCAGTTAGCTCAGCTGGTAAG